ATTTTAAAAAGAACAGAACAATCATGCATGGGATAATAATAATAATAACGCTCTCAGATGCATCTTAAACATTTAACAAAGAATAACTCAAGTTACCCAGATATTTTTGTTTGATCAGACAAGTTAAACAGACTCTATTTGTATCCTATCGAAGTGTAAAATATGTATAATATATATTTGTCTGTAAACTGATGCTTATGTACCCTCTCTCCCCTCTTTTTCCTTGTTCCTTCTTGTTGATGCATGTGAAATGTTGTTATACAGAGGGAGATGGCATTGTACATGTTAGTTGTTGACAATAAAGCATTAATTAAAAAATAAATAAATTAAAAAAAATAGACTCGATTTGTAGCACTGTAATTCACATAAATAAATAAAACACATTTAAGTTCAATAGACTCAGTTTACAGCGCTGTAATTCACAAAAAACCACCACAGGAGGGCGAAACCAATTTACGTTAATTAGACTGAGCGCTGTAATTCACAAAAAGCAATTAAGTTTATTTTACTCAATTTACAGTGATGCAATTCACAACAACCACCACAGGAGGGCGCAACAGGTTTAAGTTCATAAGACTCGGTTTAAAGTGCTGTAATTAACCAAATCACCACAGGAGGGCGCAACCTGTTTTTCAATTGACTTGATTTGCAGAGCTGTAATTCACAAAAAACACCACAGGAAGGCGCAACAAGTTCATTGACTCGATTTAAAGTGCTGTAATTAACCAAAATCACCACAGGACAGCTAAACCTGTTTTTCGATAGACTCTCAAAAATCGCCACATGACAGCAAAATGCAATTAAGTTTATTGGACTCAATTTGCAGTGATGCAATTCGCAAAAATCACCACAGGAGGGCGCAACAAGTTTGAGTTCAATTAGACTCGATTTGCTGTGCTGTAATTAACCAAAATCACCACAGGAGAGAGAAACCAATTTAATTTAATTAGAATTAAATAGAATATTTTTTAAGCCTAACAATATATATTTGTATTATTATTATTATTATTATTATTTTAATACTTATTTTGTGCATAATGCTTTGGCAATATTGTATGTAAACAAGCATGCCAATAAAGTACTTTAAATTTCAGTTGATTTGCAGCACTGAAAATCACACACACACAAAACACCACAGGAGGGCACAACCCGTTTAGTCTTTTTAGACTTTATTATATTTAATATTTTTTAATCGTATTTTTATTCATTACTCAAAACTTTATTTTAATACAATTTTTATAGTTGTTTGTTTTTGTTAAATTATTTCTTTTAATTGTCATTACTTGTTTTGTGTGTAACACTGTAGCAATATTGTATTTAAAACAATCATGCCAAATTAATTTTCTTCAAACTGAAATTTATTTGCAGTAGTGTAATTCACAGAAATGACCACAGGAGGGCGCAGAGAACACGTTTAAAGTAAAGTCTTCAGACTCGATTTGCTGTGCTGTTATTCACAAAATCTTTTCTTACAAATACATTTAGGTCTATTCGTCATTTATTTATTTACTTTGAACAGAAGAGAGGACAGTGTAAATAGTTCTGATTGGCTGTTCATGCAATGCGTCATTATGTTCTTCTGCTCTCACCCGCTTGCAGAAGTATAGCAGATCTTTAAGATCGTTAGGCTGGATTTATAATAGTTTTAGATCATTTATCTTTTTAGCAAATAACTTTATAGCTACTCTTTAAAAGAAAACATTAGAAAAGATGAAATAATGTTCGTGATTACTTTTGATTGGCTTTTCATATTGCAATGCATTATGGGTATGTTCTTCTGATCTCACCCTCTTGGAGAAGCACAGTGCATTAAAGCTATTAAATTTGATTTAAATTTGTATAAATTTGTAAAATCACCACAAAAAGGTATGATAACTTGCATGAACTTTGGTTTGCTTAAAATAAAATATCGCGTGGATTTTAGTTGCAGCCGAGCTGAAATATGTGTTGTTGAAGTGATATAAACAGCTGTCATCTGCAGGATCTGCACGTGTCGTGTTGTTGCGACTCAAGCGTCTTCCAACAGCCGAAGCTGACCCTGCTTGCGCCGCCCAGTGGAGCGGATGAAAACTGCACTTTAGTTTTTATCATTCTACAGTTCGTGTTACAGTGCTAAGATCACATTCGAGACTTGAAAGCATGAAGCTTCAACAGAAACATGTTTAAATTTCACAGATGCTGTGACCATGTTTTATCCAGTCTAAGCCGAAGTTACTTCATATATATACATATGTATACAAGCTCTGTGGAGCTGAAGAGAATTCAGTTAAAAGACTTTTGTGTGTGTGTGTGTGTGTGTGTGTGTGTGTAAATGTATTTTAACAAGAACAAAGAGAGCTGAACAAATTCCCATTTGTTCGTTAGACTTGATTTGCAGTGCTGTAAGTCATAAAACTCCCCACAGGAGGGACTGTTTGAAGTTTTCTGCCGTTGTAGTGAACTTCAGTGTGTCGCCCTCCTGTGGTGATTTTGTGAACTGCAGCGCTGCAAATCGAGTCTAATGAACTGTGGCACAAGAGTAATTGGGTATTTTTCCACAATGATGAATGACCGTTAACATTTTATTATGTAAAAAGCACAGTCTTGAGGTTTAAAAGATTTTTTTAAACCGATAATAATAAATGCTAATGTAAAAGACCAAAAACAACCCTGAGTTCAGTGCAGTCTCTGTGGTACAGAGGATAATTGTTCACCTTTTGAAATAAAATTACTGATTCAAATCAAGCAAGTGTTAAAGTTTCTTGTATCATTTCCAATCAAGCACAAAGTTTGCAAACACTTGGAAAGATAGTAAACCGCTCATTTGCGCTGAAATTCAGTAGTACAGTGGTTAAACACACACGTTATTCATAAAATTGCAACAAAGACATGAGATCAAATCCTAAAGGTGAAGTGATTGTCTTTTACTCAGCCTAAACTTATGGTAAGGTAAATCTGAAATCTAAGAGATCAAAAACACACACAACAAAACATCACAGCTGTGGTTCAGTGGTTAAAGTCTTCAATCTGAAACATAAATGTCTGGGTTCAAATCCCACAACAGACAAAGTTATGCATCATTTAACACAGATCTCTCAATAAAACCCTGTTTAAAACCTTCAGCAGCTCCACAGACTCAGAGGCGCAGGAGATCAAGCGTTGTGTTTTAATCATGAAGAGCTGAGTTCAGATCCCACTGTTGCTTACTTTACATTGATCTCATCCAACAAAACCACTCAAACTCCAGAAATGAATGTGAAGTCCATGCTGGTTCAGCGGATGAACACACGTTTCTGAAGACACGGCTGTGATGTAGACACGGGTTCAGATCCCACACACTTTATTGGAGAAAAACACAGGTCACATACAGGTAAAGAGTCAAACAGAAGTTCCTTCACGCATCTCAACAAGAGACCTGTGGCTCACTGGTAAGAGCGCTGCCTCGCGGGTTCAGAGGTTGCTGGTTCGATCCCAGCCGGGTCTCTGCGATATGAGTGAATGCTGGAATGAGTGTGAAGGCGCGCCTGAAGAAGGGGGATACCGGTACGGTCGCCCTCTGGAGCGTCCGGCTCCACGACCAGCAGCGGTTATGCTTTTAGACAGACTGGAAAATAAAAATAAAAGTGTATAAAAACAGTCATCCCCCGTCCCTTCCCCACCTGCTTAGGTTACCATCATTTGCTTTTCAAAGGAAGGCCCCTCAGAAAGAAAATGCTGGTAACCTACATGTTTAGTGCACTAGAACACATTCACACATGAGATACATCACCTGTCCACGAGCAGATGAGCATCATTACAGTCAGTGTCTGTCCACACGTCCCAGAGCGCTGCTTTACAATCCACAACACAGCACTTACTCTGGAGACACAAGACACACATGAAGATTATTAGACATATTTCATATCTAGTCTAAAAGTTGTTAATAGAGAAATGTATTAATGCTGCATATTTATAAAACACTGCAGACTCTTATTACACTTCAGTAATGCTGTGATTCAATCTACTGTTTGTCTGTTTCATTCTGATGATGCTATTAATAAATAACTATAAACCTATAAAAACACTTAACAGAAAAAAACTATCTACAAAACATCAGAATAAGATTACAGAAACATGTCACTGACTATAAACTGCTCTTACATCAAATGTAGTTTATTGCTGCATGCTTGTAATGTTATGGAAGGCATAGGAGGACATTCTTGTTAATATGTGAATAAATACTAGCCTACTTAGTTTGATATTTGCCCAATAAATGACAATAACATTTTTAGATTTAAACAATTTTTTTGACAGATTCCTAAAATATTTGTGTTTTATCTTTATTATGATGTGTGTCTAATAAATTGTTAAGCACTATTTTCATAGCATTCAGTTGACACGTTTGTTTAAAGGACATTGGGCAGAATGTGGAAGTGTTTTTTGTCAAAAAAAGAAAGAAATGAGAAGATCCGATTAATCGATTAATCGGAAAAATAATCGGTCAACTAATCGATTATCAAAATAATCGTTAGTTGCAGCCCTAATTTGAATGGCTGCGCTCTACTCTTATTATGGCAGTCACAGTTGCCAAGTCCGCTTATAATACGTGACTTTGAGCTTTTTCTTTTTTTGTAAAGTTGCGTGAAAAAATCCCGGGTCGCAGGTTGCGGGTTTTGGGGCTTATTTAAAAAAATATGGTTGCTTGTTAGGAAAATCTGACAAGCAACTTCGTTTCTTTACATCAATGTTCGCCGTATTCTCCAATGCATTGACACTCTGTCTGCTCACAGTTAAAAGCCAATTAGTGCAATAATATTAGTGTTGTAGCCTAATTCATCAAATATTCCGCCCATCATGTTCAGAAAGAAGGCGCGTTACGCTGTAATCCAAGTGATGATAGACGTAACAGAGGAGTGGGATGACTTTCTTTATAAGGTAATTTTTTTACAATGTACACTGTACAAAAAAAAAAAGTAGGCTTATAGTGATATACAGAGTATATACATTTGGTTTGAATATATTTTATCTACATTGATCTCATCCAACAAAACCACTCAAACTCCAGAAATGAATGTGAAGTCCATGCTGGTTCAGCGGATGAACACACGTTTCTGAAGACACGGCTGTGATGGAGACACGGGTTCAGATCCCACACACTTTAACTGCTTTATTGGAGAAAAACACAGGTCACATACAGGTAAAGAGTCGAACAGAAGTTCCTTCACACATCTCAACAAGAGACCTGTGGCTCACTGGTAAGAGCGCTGCCTCACGGGTTCAGAGGTTGCTGGTTCGATCCCAGCCGGGTCTCTGCGATATGAGTGAATGCTGGAATGAGTGTGAAGGCGCGCCTGAAGAAGGGGGATACCGGTACGGTCTCCCTCTGGAGCGTCCGGCTCCACGACCAGCAGCGGTTATGCTTTTAGACAGACTGGAAAATAAAAATAAAAGTGTATAAAAACAGTCATCCCCCGTCCCTTCCCCACCTGCTTAGGTTACCATCATTTGCTTTTCAAAGGAAGGCCCCTCAGAAAGAAAATGCTGGTAACCTACATGTTTAGTGCACTAGAACACATTCACACATGAGATGCATCACCTGTCCACGAGCAGATGAGCATCATTACAGTCAGTGTCTGTCCACACGTCCCAGAGCGCTGCTTTACAATCCACAACACAGCACTTACTCTGGAGACACAAGACACACATGAAGATTATTAGACATATTTCATATCTAGTCTAAAAGTTGTTAATAGAGAAATGTATTAATGCTGCATATTTATAAAACACTGCAGACTCTTATTACACTTCAGTAATGCTGTGATTCAATCTACTGTTTGTCTGTTTCATTCTGATGATGCTATTAATAAATAACTATAAACCTATAAAAACACTTAACAGAAAAAAACTATCTACAAAACATCAGAATAAGATTACAGAAACATGTCACTGACTATAAACTGCTCTTACATCAAATGTAGTTTATTGCTGCATGCTTGTAATATTACTACATGTGTATTTGAAGGGCTGCGCTCTACTCTTATTATGGCAGTCACAGTTGCCAAGTCCGCTTATTATACGAGACTTTGAGCTTTTTCTTTTTTTGTAAAGTTGCGTGAAAAAATCCCGGGTCGCAGGTTGCGGGTTTTGGGGCTTATTTAAAAAAATATGGTTGCTTGTTAGGAAAATCTGACAAGCAACTCCGTTTCTTTACATCAATGTTATTATAAGACATACTGCTTATTTAAAAATTCAGAATGGAAAAAAGTTAGTCTAAATAAGTTCATAAATGTAAATTGACAACATAAACTGGATTCCTAAACCTGTGCAGTGTAAAAAAAAATATTGCAGAGTATATTATACTTCAGTAATGCTGTAGCAATAATAATATTTTGGTTCATGGCACTTTTCTCCAGAGTTTAGACGTTTTTAACTAAATAAATGTGTGTATACATGAACACATTGGGTTTCAAAAATATTTAATATATAAATGTTTAAACACAATTTGCATTAACTTGTTTATCCACTGTTTTTAGTGGTCTAGAATCGCTACATCACTGAATTATAGATTTAGTGAAGCAAAAACAAGCACAATCTAAGTGTCTAACATTATCTACAGTAATACTACAACATCAACAGACTGTCTGAACACATAGCTGTCCAGTAACAAGCATCTTTTTTAAACAACGTGCTTTTAAGCTAAAGACCTCATCAACATTTATGATTTTAAGGTTTTTAAAGTGTGTTACCTTTGTAGTGAGACACATGAAATGCAACACATCCGATCAATACATTAATCTAAATGAACTGACAAAGGTGCTCTGCTATGAAATATCTTAAATACACACATATAAACTGACACAATGACTTATATGAAACATAAGTACTATATAGTGCAACTGTGCAAGACCATAGAAGTTCACATAAGTTACTTACAGGTGAGTCGCATGACACTCGATTCCAGCGTTTTATCCCACAGTGTGTTGGTTTCGTTTGCAGCTGAGCTGAAATATGTGCGGTTTAGTGACATTTAGAGCTTTAACAAGCAAATTATCTGCAGGAGTTTAGCGTGATATTGCTGTGACTGTCATCAAGCATCATGTTGTCAAACAGCCGAGGAAGTGAGACTCAGACTGACGGTGAAGCCCGCTTGCGCCGCCTCGTGGAGCGGAGGGAAAACCGCACTGCAGTGCCGTTACTTCATACAGTATCTTACTAAACACAGCTCTGTGGAGCAGGAGGAAATTGTTCACTTTGGAAAACTATAAGCAATAGGAAATAAACATTTTACCTAAATAACACATCCGATCCAGGACTTGAACCAACAACAACCACTCTGGTGTTAGGACCATGTGCTTCACCACTGAGCTACCAGCCAAGCTCCTGCAACAGAGGCATAAATGCAGGCCTAATGTGTTTCAAACACAATTCAAAAGTCTGCATTTGATTTGGGTTGGAGCCATCAAGAACCTTGCATTATGCAATAGACTAAATAATAAAACTATATTGAAGCAAACAGCATTCAACAGTGAAGTGCTGGTACTATTTCACATCCAAAATCTAGCTAGCATAAGAGACTTGCATAGAATATATATATATATATGTGTGTATATATATATCAATATATATATATTATATATATATATAACTACTTTTTGATTACTTTTAGATTACTTTTGACATTGACATTGATTTAAATAGGGTAATCTTTTACCATATTGATATAAAAATACAAAGAGTAAGAAAATATATTCCATTCATTGCTATTAATAACATGAAGTGCATTAAACATTACATTATGTCAAGGTTTCCCAAACTGGTGTCTGTGAAGGAACTGCAGGGGGGTATATGAGTTTAATGAAAAGCTAATAATTAATTAAATCACGAACATGTAAAATTAAAATAAATAATTTTAAAATACCATTGATCAAAATAAAACACTTACTAAAAAATTAACTATTTTATTTGTTTACCTGCATGCCATGTGATCATTAACCAACGTTAGAAACCCATGAACATGCAAATGTGATAGATAATTATTAAAATATTTATTTTAAAATCTCAGGAGTGCTTCAAGTAAATACATTAGGTAAAAGAGGTTCAAATGACAAAAAAATATTATTTTTATATATGAAATATATATAAAATGATTTAGAAATGCATCATTTGACCCTTGTAAGAAACTATTTAACACTTATTTTTGAATGAATTCATCTTTTTTCAATTATATTAATTTTTCAGCATAAAACAGCATACATATTCAGATGTTTTTTTATTTGTGCCTTTATTACAACTTATAAAACAATGCATTCATTAAAAACAACTATGTGGAGCCGTATGTACTGTGAAGGAAGTCCATGACGGCAGACGTACTGGATAGATTATTGAACACCCTCCTCTCGGGCTGAGAGCTGATGCGCTCCAGCATGTAAATCAGGTGATGGTGGAAACAGGTGAACGGGGTCCCGTGTTCCACAGCGATGTCCACCCAGTCCCACACGCACTGCAGCGGGGTCTCCTCGTACCTGGCAAACATGGCAGGATTGGCCAGCAATCCCCGAGCAGCCATCACACCTGCAGAAGTCCAAAAATATCAGACACAAAAACAACAAGAGAAATGAAATCAGATGCCGATTAAATGACACGCACCGTCCACCCCTGTGAGCTCACAGATGGCCTCCACGTCCTGCATGCTCTTGATGTCACCGTTAGCGATGACTGGGATGGAAAGACTGTCCTTGATGGTCTTAATGGCATCGTAGTGAACGGGCTGGTGCCTCTCGTCAGCTGTACGACCGTGAACTGTAATCCAGGAGACTCCTGCTGCCTCCACCTTCTGACAGAGATCCACCGTCTTCCTGATATCCTTGTGAATTCTGAGGACAAATCACATTTATTTATATATAGTGCTTTTCACTATACATATTTCAAAGCAGCTTTACAGAATATCATAATGTGTGTGTGTGTGTGTG